GACCTGGCTGACATGTTTTAAAAAAAAAATTAAATAGACTATTTCATTTAACTATTTTAGTTAAAAAAACAATTTTAACAAAAACAAACCTGATTTTAAAAAACTTGAATGTTTAAATTCAAAAATTCATATGCTTGTTTTGTTAAAATATTATGTGTTTGCTGTTGAAGAAAAAAATCCAGAATACATAACACTGTTGTTTTAGTTAAACCACTTAAATGTCTGTCTAGTGATGTTCTCCTCCTAATCCAGTATGGCAAGAAAACCCTCCAAATATTAATGATTAACCTGTTGAATTGGAGATGGTCACCTACCAATGACTTAATAATTATCTGCTTCAGTTACCTTTGGTAAATGAAATAACCAAACAATCATTCATTTTCTGATATAGCTGTAAAACTAATCTGAAAAGTTTTCAATAAATCACTTTAAAAATGTGTAGTGTGTACCTTCTAAAAATGAAACCTGCATCTATCTTTGAGTTGTGAAGAATATGTATTAAGGTTATAACAACCAACAAGAATGCACTTTTATGTAGAAATCCATGATTAAATTGAGTCTTCCTGACTAGTGATTTAAATCAAATCCACCCTGGTCAGGGTCCCATAAACAGTCCAGGTAATTCTTAAGTAATATTGTGATGCTGGAGGTAATTCAGTCACTTATCTTCTCATCCAGTTCATTTTGTATGTTTCAGTTCTGTTGGTTGAAATACTGCAAGGTATTTAGGTGGGGGAGATCCCACAGGCATACACTTTGGGGTAGGGAAGAAGTTAATAGATAAAAACCCATGGATAGCAAATGAAATCATTGTTCTGATGAATGAAAGAAGGAAAGTAAAAGCACAAAGATGGATAACAGAAAAAGGGGAATGTGGAAGACTAAATAAAATGATGAAGAATAAATGTAGATTAGTAATGTCTGAATGAGAAATACAAATAATCCGAATAATTGTATAAAGAGAACGAAGTGATATGTATCAAAGTACTCCACTTAGGAAGCAACAATCACTTGCACCCATACAAAATGGGAAATGACTGCCCAGGAAGGAGTAGTGCAGAAAGGGATATGGCGGTCATAGTAGATCACAAGCTAAGTATGAGTCAACAGTGTAACACTGTTGCAAAAAATCAAACATCATTCTGAGATGTATTAGCAGGAGTGTTGTAAGCAAGACATGAGAACTAATTCTTCCACTCTACTCCGTACTGATTAGGCCGCAAATTGAGTATTATGTTCAGTTCTGGGCAGCACATTTCAGGAAAGATGTGAACAAATTGGAGAAAGTTCAGAGAAGACTAACAAAAATGGTCTAGAAAAGATTGAAAAAAATTGGATTTGTTTAGTCTGGAGAAGAGAAGACTGAGGGATACATAAGTTTTCAAGTACCTAAGAGGTCTTTACAAGGAGAAGGGAGAATAATTGTTATTCTTAACCTCTGGGGATAGGACAAGAAGCAATGGTCTTAAATTGTAGCAAGGGCGGTTTAGGTTGGACATTAGGAAAAACTTGCTGGCTATCAGGATGGCTAAGCACTGGAATAAATTGTCTAGGGAGGTTGTGGAATCTCCATCTTTGGAGATTTTAAAGAGCAGGTTAGACAAACATCTGTATAGAATACTTAGTCCTGCCATGAGTTTAGGGGACTGAACTAGATGACCTATCACGGTCCCTTTCAGTCCTATGATTCTATGATATTTGTGTTTTATTGACCTCAAAAGGTATTTGACAGAATCTGCCACTACAAAGTGCTCAACATATTAGAGCTGTCGGGATTGATGGATACAAACTCCGAGTAATAAAACAATTATACTGGAATCAGAAGGCAATTATAATGGGAGATGCAAATGAAAATTGAGAAGAGATCGAAAGGAGTGAGAGACAGCGCTATATAATGTCAGTGACTTTATTCAGCGTTTATAGTGAGTGATTAAATTAATAGAAGAAACAGAGGAAGGTTTAAGATGAATGAAAAATAGGTTAATATTTGCTGTGCAAATGACACAGTGCTGTTGGCTGATTCAGAAGGTAGTTGAAATTAGTAGAGATTATAGATGAATATGGCGAAGAATATGGTCTAGAGTTGAATGTGGACAAGACAAAAACTATGATGGTATGCAAGGATCCTGGGAAGACATGCAAGATTCCAATAAATGACACAGCCATACAGCAAGTGAGAAATTATTGCTATTGAGGAAGCATCATTACAGAAGATGGGAGATTGGATCCTGAAGTCAGCACCAGAATAGCAAGAGCGAAAGAGATATTCTGGAAGAATAAACATTTGATGAGAAGGGACACAAATCTCACAACTAAATTTTGACTGTTAAAAACTTACATATGGTCTGTGTTAAATTACGACTATGAAAGGTGGACATTCAAACAATCAATAAACTACAGTCCTTCAAATTATGTGGTTATAAAAGAATTCTGAAAATATTGATAAACCATGGAATCAATGAAAAAAGTATGGGAGATAGGAACTCAGCAAATACTAATCCGAGATCTTAAGAAAAGAAAGGTTTGATTTGCAGGGCACATTTTTTAAGTAGGTCAGCGGGTGATGCATGTTTGTAGGCCCTGAAGGGGAAAGTTGATGGCTGAACAAAAAGAGGAAGGAAAAAAAAGATCTTGGATGGACAGTATGGTATCCAGGGTGGATCAAAAGGACTTTTGGCTCACAAAGAGATGAGCAGGGGGTTTTACAGAATAGGCTGCCATGGTTGCAAACCTCTAGTAATGGAGATGTCGTATGAGAAGATATATTACTGTGACTATTATTTATTGTAGTAATAATAATGGCTTCTCAGTCTTCTTAAAGAATAGATGAAGTCTCCTGTGAGAGTGAAACTGGAGTCAGAGTTTTCCTGAAAAATATTTTTTGTATGTACAATGTTATGTCTTAATAGTTTTTCACTTCTCTCAGACAGTGGTTTAAAACTGTAATCTGAATTGCACAAATTAAAACTCTCATGAGCCATGTACAAAAACATAAAATAACCTAGGAAAATCACTAATAAACTTTGTATACTAAGGTTAATGCTGCAGAAATACAAAACTATATATCCTCTTCATCACCCTAAATAATACCTAAAATGAAATCTAAAGGCTCAAAGATATGAACATTTAAGAACAGCATCTAAAAGCCTTGAGTCAGTTGATGAGGATCTGTTGTCTTGACCTTAAAGAAAGTTCTTGCAATTAAATAAAGCCATCCATAAGAGAGCAAACAAACCAAACAAAATCTTTCTGTTTTAAGTGTTTTTCTAGAGTATGTGGGATCCAGTGCTTTTGTATATATGGTTAGATTTAAGCACAAGTGTAAGAGTTTGCAGGATTTGGGCCTTATAGCGTGTAGCAATGTTTGTAGTATCTGAACGAAAGAAAATTAAAAAACAAAAATCCACCTGTATATTTCTGAAAAACAATACATGAAAAACATAAAATGTTAAACTAAATTCACTTGATATTTATATACACCTCTACCCCGATATAACGCAACCTGATATAACGTGACCTGATATAACACGAATTCGGATATAATGCGGTAAAGCTGTGCTCCGGGGGGGGCGGGGCTGCGCACTCTGGCAGATCAAAGCAAGTTCGATATAACGTGGTTTCACCTATACCATAGTAGGATTTTTGGCTCCCGAGGACAGCGTTATAACTGGGTAGAGGTGTATTATCATGTCATAAATTAATATATAAGGAAAATATATTTGTCATTATGACAGATTTTATTTTTTACAGCACAATATCCATCCAAACATAACCTTTCCTCCAGCATCTATACAAAGAAAATAAAAATCAAATAATAAATAACATGCAACTGTATATGTAAGTTATTTACAGTGGTATAATTTTGAATCAAACATTGGAAGGGACAAATTGCTGGTTGCACAGAAAATATTGTTCCCCCTTCACTTTCCCAACTGGCTCTGAGCAGCAATGCAATGTACGGGTCTATCTCACATTTACATTCACTTAGTTATATACTAAGTGTGAGTGATAGTAATGTTTTATAAAACAAAAATATATAAACAGAAAGGGTCTCTATTTCCCCCCCATCCCCCCCCCGATTTAGTCTCTCTCTCCTGTAATATGGTGCAGGCTTGTGGAGGGAGGTGTTTAGGAGGAAACTGTGACACTTCTGGATAAAAGGCTCAGTTATACTGTACCATCTAAAAACTGGGTTGAAAGTTGTGGGAAGATATGTACTTCTGCATGCCCTAAAATTATACCTTTTTTTTGGCTAATGACAACTCTTAAGAGGCTTTTTAATCTGTTTTTTACATAAGAGGTGTTTTGTACACAATATGATTCTGCTAATTTAATTTTGAAGTGTTTTTAGGGTTTGGATTGGGTAGGGTATGGAAATATTTCTATAACCTTATATTTGTTAAAATTACAAATCAGTTAAAAGCAGATTTCAGCAATCATGAAAAAATAACCTCTCATTTACAATCCCTAACTGGCTTCAGACTGAAATATTTCTTTAAATAACTTTTCTTCTAATGTATATGTGTGGTATACTATCTCTTGCTGTTTTTCATGAGTGCTGTGCTTCTGGCACTTTATTTTAAATAAATAAAAAACTGAAAATAAGAGCACTGAAAGTTTAAAAATAGAACCACTTATGAATTACATGGACACTGATAACATCTGAAAACAGGGAAAGGTGCTGTGGGTCCAACCATTGACAATCTCCTTTAATTGCATTCCAGACATGGACAGAACTCTATACTCTACAGTTGGTGTAGGTGATAATAGTTTATTTAACATTGTTTGCAACAACTGTATTTTAGTTGAAAGTTCTGTTTGCTGTTGAAACCTGCCATAAGACCAGAGAAGTACTTTCTTTATAGTGCTATTCAAAAATTGTTTTAACAGGCCCTTTTTTTTAAATATGGGTCAATCAATGAGAGACATTTGTAAAGATTTAGCTGTTAGAATTTAACTCTTCATTCCTTCTCTAATACTTCCTTCCAGGCTGACTCCTCAGTAGAGATTGGGAAGGGCAGCAGAAGAGAAGCCAAACGTTTAAGCTGATAATTCAACAGAATTTTTCTCTGAATTGAGGGCTCAGAGTGGAGCCATCATGAGTGATGTTACCATTGTGAAAGAAGGCTGGGTTCAGAAGAGGGGTAAGTTCCAAATATAAACAGAAAATCCTTCTATAGTGTAGCATGCTATCAATAATGGTATTTTGCAGCTGGGAATATGAAAAGTCTAATACTTTGCTGTAATGTTCTTTCCCAGTTAATAGCAAGTATCCTCTCTCTCTGTTAATGCGACAATCCAGAGTACATGGGCACTGACACCTTGATCATGCAAACAGTTAGGCATGTGCTTAGTAGTATATATGTGAGGAGTTCTGCAAAAGTCAATGGGACTATTTGAATGAAGTCAAGCATGTGCCGAACTGTATTGCTGAACTGGGGCCCATGTGAATAAAGTTACAAACGTTTTCCAAAATAAAGAGCAATTTTGTATTAATTTAATTAAATTTAGCTTTTGGATTGACTGTTTATAATCTGTCATTGAGTGATGTAACAGATTGAGGAATGTTAGTGTGCTTGAGCTTTGATTTAGAGCTGTGCCATTTGCATTTTTAAGAAACTTTTTTTTTTATAAAGTTTACTTTTTAACTTTTGCTGATCTGGGAACAAATATCTCTGTCATGGAGGCCAGTTTAAAAATATTTTCTTAGTATTAAAATGTGTCCATAGCAAGATTGGGCATTTAGTTGATTGGTAGTGCATGTGAAAACAATGCCTTCAAAAATGTTTAGACTGAGAGATGTGCTTCTGTTTAATTTAATCTCACTAATTTTTTTGTTTTATAAATTAAATTCAGCACACATATCGGTTAAAGTATAACTGACCGTTTAAATCTGATACTTAGTTTTTAAGTAGTTATAACTTAATTGGTAGCTGTTAGCAGTTACAAACTTCATTTTGTAACTAACCCAAAGGAGTCACTTTAGGAGAGGATGGCCTGATTTGTCCAAAGCTTAACTTTTCCATCACAAAAATGCTTTTCTGCTCCCATGCTGAATATGTTGTTAAAGATCTTTACTGTGTTGTGTACATGGGTACTAGTGTATGTATGTACGTGACCCGGTTGAGTAGGATGGGAACTAATTCATGCTGGGGATATTTAGAGCACTCCCAAGTTTTTAGTTATTTGTAGTATCAAAGTGTGTAGTTTTAAAAACGTTTCCTAACCTTTGACTTTGGCTTCTTTGCTCTCTGCCACAGTTTACACAAATCTATGGCAGCTTCCAGTTAAAATCAATGCTTACAGCCCATAAGTTCTTTTATCTCACTTGGAAGAAAATACACATTAGAGCAGGGGTTCTCAGACTTCATTGTACCACACCCCCTTCTGACAACCACAATTACTACATGACCCCAGGAGGGGGGACCGAAGCCTGAGTCTGCCCAGGCCCCTCTGCCCTGGGTGGCAGGGCCAAAACCCGAGCCCATCTGCCCGCGGGGGAGGGGAGGGCAAAGTTAAAGCCCAGTGGCTTTAACCCCAGGCAGGGGGCCTGTAACCTGAGCCCTGCTGCCCAGGGTTGAAGCCCGGGGCCCCAGCAGGTTTAAGCCACTTTGGGGTCCTGAACCACAGTTTGAGACCCACTGCATTAGAGTCAAGTGTTAGTAAAGAAGACACTAAGTAGCGTTTCTCCATGACTTCCTTTTTAATGACTATAGTAAGGTTTCTTAAAAACATTTTTCCTATTATTTTTATATTGTGAGTATTTTCTTATACAGTCATTATATTTGTTGTAAATATCTGGCAAAACTACAGCAAAGATAAAGCACAACTGAAAAAAGTAGCAAGAAGTAAAAACCGAAGAACACTAAAATAATTTGCTGATAACAGAAATAGTTTTGGCTTCTAATTGTTTAAATACCTTTAGGTTATCCTAGCAGTGGTTTTCAAGAACAAGACCATTTGGAAACTCTTAAGATAAAAGAACATCCTTTTGTTTAAATTGTCTTAAGGAATCAAAATAAGACTTTGATTATCCAGTATGAATATGAAACTCAACAGTTTATGCTCACAGTCCGCCAGTTTGTATAAGTAGGGGAGACTACAAAATAAGAATATCTGAATTGGTGCTGAAAGAACTTGGGGAGCTGATAATGGTATAATCAGAAAGAGACCTCTTTCTGTCTGGTTAGGAATACTAGCTTGCTTGGGCTGTTTTGTATTTCAGTGTCAGCTTTTTGATAGTATAATTATATGTACATCAGAGGAGTAACTTCCCTTTATTGGTGGTATCTCACTTTTGTTTATATATTTTGACCAAGAGGCAACAATGGACTAAAGTATATAGCTAGGCTAATTAAAAAGTTGTAAACTGAATGAGTATTTTTGTATCTGACTCCTTCATTTAGTTCTATTTCAAAATAAGAGGACTTGCTACAAATTGCCCTTCCCCAGACACTTTTCAATTTTACTTGAAGTGGGAAACTCTAGAAATGTTGGATAGCTGTATCACATATTATCACCTTTGTAATACTTTGCAACAAGATTTCCATGATATATACTGCTATATTTTGGTCATGCCTTTAACTAGACACAGTTCCAAATGAGACTCATCTCTTCTTACTGCAAGAAGGTTGTCTGGATCATGGTATGAGTGGCTCCGTAATCTAGTTAAATCCAAGAATATTGTGTGCTGAATAACCTTTTAATTTTAGCAGTGAGATGGTTTGTCTAAATAGCATGGCGTGCAGAGACAAAGACTGTCATTTGGCATAGTGACCTCATATTTTTATTAAATGTCACTGAAACCAGGAAAAGCTGGAAAAAAAAATCATAAACCTCCTATGCAGTGGTTCTCAAACTTTTTTTTCTTGGACCACTTGAAAATTGTGGAGGGTCTCGGCGCACCACTTAAGCATTCCAAATGTTGTTTGTACCCTTAGCATGCATGATTCTATTTTGAACATTTGGAGAATCTAGTGTGAGTGGCATCTCACTTTTGCAACTTAAGTATGCTTTCTGATCAGCCAAGAGGGTGATTGGAAAGATACTCCATGCCTGAAACTTTATCATGAATGAGTCAAAATAGTACTGTACTTATTACCAAAGTTAGTTACCAAATTCCATTTGAATCAGATCTCCCTTAATTTTAATTTGGCTATAGTGCCCGAAGAACAAAAAGGAAAACCTGTCAATTCTGTGTATGAAGGAGAGCACTAACAGTATACCCCTGAATGATGTTTGAGGATAAGAGGTCATACATTTTGATTGCTCTTTTTGAAGGCCCCGAGAAGAGATTGCTTACATCTAATGAGTCTGTGCTTCTTGGCTCAGGAGATTATAGTTTTTATCTGTTTTTGTTCCTCAAGAGCTCTCTATATATTTTGCGACTGTGAGAGCATATGCTTGTTCTCTGCAACTGTGTAACACGGTCAGACTGGAATAGCTACTTACTTTCTCCAGACATTGTGGAATTCATCTCAGATGGAAAATTTTGAAGATTTCGGTCAAATTAAAGAAGTTTCCCAAACTTTTCAAAGATCAGTCCCCATTCAAGAAAGCAAAATGAGTTGTGCCTTCTCTCCCTCCCCAGTTCTGCCATGTGTTGCTAAAGGTTTACCCATCTTCATTTATATGTCTTCTGCACTTTCGAAAATGCTGATAATTGTGGTGGTAGGTACTGCAGTTGAATTCTGAGTAACCCTGGTTGGTCCACAGGGATTTATGGAGAATTGAAACTGTTCTCTAAGCACTCCTGCTCTAACCCAGATACTCAACACACTGAATAACTTTTAGTTTAAGTGCAGCGTATCCTCTCTATCCTATTATGAGGTTTATCCTCTCTCTCAAAGGAGTGTCACTTGACAAATAAACCCAATGTTGCAAACTCTTGGAAACTTATTGCAAATGATGTTGCCTTTGCTGTGGGAAGTCACTTGATGAAAAACTTCAGTCTTCCCATGACTTGGGGAAAGCCAAATGAGGGAGAGACTTTCCCCTCTGCCCCACAATGCCCTGTAATTTAGGGAAAGAGCACTATACTGAAAGCACAGAAACTGAGTTCTAGTCCTTCCTCTTCTGTTGACAGCTGTGTTCCTCATAACTCTTCTTATGAGTCAAGGCCATATACCTTGGGATGTAACTTACATCCATCCATTCCAAGATAAGATAATGAGACCTGTCAGAAGGTCACTTTAGTCAGAGCTGGGAATAGAAACAGGTTTCTAATACAACTCTCACCTGCTTTACCCCCACAGCTTTTCAGAAGGAACTTGCTAAATTAGGTACTTTTGTAATTCATACTAACAGTGTGGCTCTGTCACTCTCTAGTGGCTAGACCACAACCAGAAGTTTATTATTCAACTGCTGCCTCCATGCTATGATTTCTGGTCCTCCAGCTCAGCAGGTCCCAGGTTCATTTCCTGCAGACTATGCAATCAGGGTGTGTTACATTTCCCGGCAGTGTCTGTAACTCAGAGACAGTTTAATCACAGAGCCAGGAATAGAAACCAATAATCCTCATGCCTTATGTTCCAGTGCTGTTTGACAACTACCTGAGCAAACCACTGGTAATGTGTGTTGTCTCCCTGTATGAGTGATCTGGACACAGGATAATAGCTTTCTTTCCCTCCATCATTTACTCCTGTACCTGAAATGGAAGAGGTTTAGACTAGATATGAAGTTTCTGGATCCAAGCCTTGATCCTGGAATAATTTTTGAAATGATTTTATATTGCAAAATACTTTAGAAGTGATTTGGATAATGTGTTAATATTTGATGATTGCCATTTTTAGTGTTTGTGTTTTGGTTACTCTGAACTGTCCTTTTAAGTGGCAGACTGAGGGCTTGCCTACTGTGACAGACCCAGACCAGTGGGGTACAGGAGTCTGGTAGAGGGCAAATATACGGGTCACTGGATGAGTAGTTTTCTGTTCCCTGAGTGACCAGAGCAGGAGCTGCACTAGAGTAATCAGGAACCTGCTAGAACCAGTTAAGGCAGGCAGGCTAATTAGGACACCTGGAGCCAATTAAGAAGAAGCTGCTAGAATCAATTAAGGCAGGCTAATCAGGGCACCTGGGTTTTAAAAAGGAGCTCACTTCAGTTTGTGGTGTGAGTGTGAGGAGCTGGGAGCAAGAGGTGCAAGGA